TGTTGCATATTGATAATAAAGTTAAAAGTCATTCAGTTGATAATTTTAGCCTCTAAAGTGTCCACAAGCAATGGTTTAACATCTGCTTGACACAAACTAGGTCATTTCAGAAATAACATATGATTCAATTTTTATTCCAATAATTCGCTTGCGCATAGGGGTCTTTAGCAATGGGAGGAAATCGGAGTACCTGGAGGAAACTTGGCAGGTTGGACAGGTTCCCTTACTCCTTGTCCTTGTCACGTAAAAGCAGGGAATCAAAACCACACAACCTGACTCAATGACAGACCGTATGATCTAAACCCTCCTATAGACCGACGGACCGGATGATGACAACACATGACCACATTTCAATGTAAGCATTTAACAATTACCTCTCTGTATTTTTGTAGATATAATTTTAATGGTTCAACGTAACTATCAAACCCGAGAGTAGACATAGCAAATAATATATCTTCACCATTAATAGTTTTTCTTTTTTCCTGATGGCATCTTTCACTTGCTCTATAAATCTTGTTAAAGAATTAAAACTATTTGTTTTATTAGAATATGTCACATAATCAAAATGATCTCTTCTTTTAAATAAGAGAAGGGTGATGAAGGGGGGGGGGGGGTTCTCATAAAGATACAGATTGTTCTGTTCTGAGAAAAAAGATAAAGAAATGTTAAGGTTACTTCGCAAAACTAGTCGAGCTGCCAGTCATTTTTATTTGGTTCACATTCATTGACAGATTTTGCTAAACTTAAATTAACAAGACCATTTTTTTTTTTACTAAATAATACCACACGCTTCACGCTTCAGCATTATCTCAAGCTTATATATATTATATTCATAAAAAGTAACAATTTAACTCAGCACTCTATTTATTGGGTTTTGTTTTAAGGATAAATTCTTTGAAATTCTAATTTTAATATGGCATCTATGTTGGCTGACCGTTAAACTCTCCAGTTAGTCACTTCCACTGTCAGTCAGTTGAGACTGGCAAATATAAATATGACAGAAACAAGAGGCATTGCTTCAAGTCAAGTTTAGTAACGCCTTTCAACTGGCTTTGAAATTCAAGTTTTATGGCATTTAAATTGGCTGACAGGTAAGTTCTTAGTCAGTCTATGGCCTGTCAGTCAATGACTAAAACAAGAGTCCTTGCTATAATGCAACAGAATTCAATTGGCTCTTCATTACACGATTTTACAGTTCAATAACCTGGTATCAAGATAGAATATAACAGGATGTTATGAGTTTGGGGTTATAAAAGGATACTCGCTAGTAATAAAACTGATAAACTCTGAAACACATTCTTGTACACATTCTTTAGCATCCTTAGCAATCTGTAATACAAGGCAATACTAACATATGAATAACATGTAAGTAAATTTTAAGACAGACAACATAATCTAAACATGAGAGATGAGACTGCTCAAAGCAGATCAAAACTTTAATTACCAAGATTCTTTTCAAGAAAAAATATATTTCTATAGAAAATGGTCACTTACTAGATATCAAAAACAAATAAAAACAGACTGTTTTTAGAAATTTGTTTTTTTGTATATTTTATCTAATTATTTCAAATGAGATGCCACAGACGCTCAGAGAATAAGGCACTGGCTCACTAGCCAGGGAGTTGTGGGTTTGACCCTTTTGTTGATCGAGAAAGTACCTTCTTGGGCTAAATTTCTCTTGTCCGTCTTGATTAGCCCAGTGGGTGCATAAAACCCCATTTTATATGATTTTAAGTGATTGAGTTTGTATTATTACCTTTCCTGTCGTTGGGACTGATTTTTTCATTATTCTGGCAACATTGGCTATCGGCAAGAAACGGTCCTGAAATTAATTCAAATATCTTTACATAAGATACAAAACCATAAATTAATAATAAAGGTCAACTAAACAGTTAAGATCTATACAGTGCCACATTGACCTATAGGCTTGGCGGGATGAAGCCTTGGACATCAAGATCTAGGAGGCCTCCAGTTAAGGTGTATAATATTTTTGACACTGTCAGAAGCCTTTCTTGAGTCAACTGGAGTGGTTTCGATTCCCTGTACGTGACAAGGAGTCGGGTCTCCTGTCTAACCTCGTGGGTTTTCTATGGGTCCTCTGGTTTCCTTCCACTGCTAAAGACCCCTATGCGCAAGCAAATTATTGAAATAAAATTGAACCATGTTTGTCCCGAAATGACCTAGTTTGTGTCGAGTTTAGGTTAATACCCATTTCTCTCTCTCATAAGTCTTTCTTACATGCACTGTAGTCTTAAATCCGTCACTGCTCACTTTCATCTTGGCTTCATAAGTAGAATATCTTACGATCTCACTTTATCTTAATCTGTTTTAAGTTCTAACTACAGAAACTGATTCAATTTTAAAATGTGTAGTTAGTAGACAGAGAATTGAGTTTAGTATCTGAAAACATATTTATATCTTATGTCGACAATATCAAATATTTGCAGAAGATGCGGCTGCATATATAGGACAATGATTTGAAGAGCTGCTTCATTATTATTACCTGTTCTCTTAGAGGTTCATTATTGCCTGGATCTTCTTCTCCGTCACCTGAACCTATTGTATCTTCGCCTTCACCTTAAATAATTCAAATATTTGTAAATTAAAACAAAACAACAGTGCACATTTATCTTTATAAAGAATTTAGCAATCAAATTGTTTATTATCACTCTGCATAATCCAATATTGAACTAATGAAACAATACATCTGTGTCATCACTCAATTAGTTATTATGTTCTAAAGAATATCAGGCATCAGCCAATCAAACTGATTATCTATGCTTAGCCTAAACAGAAAATTCTCATCATCAAACCCAGTCAAGACATTCAGTTCTCCTAATGAACAACTACATCACGTTTGAACATTCTAGGTCAATTAGATTAAAGCAGAGTTATCATGTCCCAAAAAAGTGTTATGGATGCACAGACAACTGAACAAACACATTTTAATAGCCCCTTGCTCAGGCTGACAATAATTAAGACTAGTAAATCGGATAGAGATGTTATCTGATCTGGGAGCCAGGCCCGGGTGGCTCAGTGAGTAAGGTGATGGCTCACTACCCAGGGGGTCTCAGGTTCGCTCCTGGTGTTGGCTGAGAAAGTTCTGGCTCAGGGAGCAGGCTGTAGTGTTGCTGTCCAAGAAACTTAAGACCATATTACTTTATTACCTTCTATTACATTTACATATTGTGTATTAGGTAGAAATGATTCATTGAGGCTGTTATCATTGCCTCCTTCGGCTCCTGCTTCCATACCGTTACTTCTGAAAACAAATAAATAAAGATTATCAATTAAATTGTACCTGCATTAACACTATTAACAGTCACATTTTTATTCTATCATCTAATTCTATAGCAGTCTTTGAGAACTATTAAAATACTGGTCCAGATCTTAAAATAGCAATTACCGGTAGGCCTAGAGTATTTTTCAAAATCATAGAATTATGCAGTAAGGTTTTACTTTTACTTCAATGTGGATTAGTTAATTAAAGATACATTATGGGAGATTCGATAACGAATTGGCAGTTCTCACAATAATAGTTAAAAACTAGATAATGTAAAGGCAATTTGCTGAAAATTTCAGTCAAATTGATCCACTATGAACCGAGAAATAAGCGATCAAAAGTTCCACATAGCCTCGGTCATCATTACTAAAGTCGGTAAGACAAAAATCATAGTCTCGATTATCCATTTAATCATTAAATCGAGAAGGAAAGTTATGCAGCAAATCAGATCATAATCCAACAATTATCGCAGGCTAGCGTTGACATCGAGAGTTGATTATGGTCTGGATACGTTAATTAATGTCTAATTAATAGTTTATATACGTTTCATGCCTAAAGAAAGACCTACATGTACAATAGGCAGATTTAGCTCTTGCATAATGTATGTTTAAGCTTTTATGTTAAGATATGTGTAATATGATTTCGGGCCAGATTAAATGGAAATTAAGGGAGTTACAGGCTTGAAAATTTTTGTAATCAAATCAGGACAAAACATCAGAACCATTCCTAGGATTTGTAAAAAATAGTATGATAATATTATTAATATTGCAAATCAAAATAATGATTCCAGTCCACTGTGTAATAAAATCTATAGATTTAAAAATCTAAAAAATATCTAACCCCAAACACAATTTCTGTTTATACTTTGTGAACTTGTCATTCTGATAGTGACAGTCTTCAGGCTCAGGCATCATAAAATAAACAGGGATCTAGGCCTAGGCCTAGAGAGGCTAACTCATTTATTGATTTGACATTTTCGAGGTTATCTGAAATTTTAATACTAATAATAGCCTATAGTGAAGACCTGGTCCAGTATAGGCTTAGGAGTTAGGTATAGTTCGACCAACTAAAAAGTTTATCGTGAAAATCTATTATACAGGCTACTTCATATTGAGTCCAAAAATTATTTAGCACAAAAGAAAATGGCGGTGTTGAATTTTTTTGTGAAATCGCCACGAATGAAACTTGAAGTATTAAAATTTTATTCTGATCTTATCACTTTTGTGACAGATCGAAGATGGTTTAAAACAGTTACACGTGGAATTCATTGGCCAAAGGATAATAACAACAAACCTGAATGATTGAGACGAGCTTGAGAAATTGGTTGGTCAACGTTACAGCCAGTGAGATTGCAGGAGTCACCCAGCCACTCAGCGAAGAATGCCATGAATGATGGCTGTTCCAATGACTAGACTGCTCCCCTGAAAATGGTTTTAATTTCACATAAACCTGGGCTTATAGATATTTTGACACTGTATAAATAAACGAAAATACAGAAGTTGACCAACAATTTTACATATTTAAGCAGATATTATGTATCTAATTTACGTATTATTTCCAAAACTAAAAGTGATCAATCGTTGGTGCCAAGGGGGGGTGTTTTTTCGATACTCTAAAGTAAACCGCTTTACTTCTTGAAAACGCATATATTTATATAAATGCGCTAAATTAGTTCTAGGGATTCCCCTGAAAATGTGTTGTATTTTCTACAATATAAAGCATTACAATATGTATAAACTTCTTGAATCAGACTCTTGAAATGAAATTATATCATCATGCATGATGATATCTCTTTTAATTACAAAGAAGCACAAAAAATATATTGCCAGATTATCCATGTGCATCGTCAGCACGGAATTAGGGGAACCACCATTTATTTTTACGTCGTGAGACGGAACTCATTGGAAAGGTGTTATTTCAATAATATCAGAATTATTTCCTTGTTAGTCATTATTAATGTTAATTTCAACATGCATTTGACCGTGAAAGTGTTAAACGGCGAAGAATGTACTGTTTCTGTAAGTAATAGCCTGAATTTAGGCTTCAACTGAAAAAAAAGTTGGAGAATCCAATTGAATTCCTATCCAAAACATATCAGTTAAAACATAGATAATTATAAGCGGCTGTGTTTTTGATCCCGTTATTCTGTTGTCATTGAAGATTGTAGTAGATCTCGATTGAGATATTTCCATGGGCGGGGGGCGCACCTCTGGGTTGACAAAGTAAAGTGGACTTTGTCCTTCGGATGGCACGCCAATGTGAATGTCAGACACAAACCATGGTCCTATGACAATTTGAAACTTGAAGATGAGTAATCTGATGTCTGCTACCATTAAAAATTCTCCTCCCAGAATTTGTATTTTGTATATGCAATCAGAGCGGGTGCTCGATTTACAGTCCAGAATGTTCCGAATTGACAGAATTGCAATCGAGTAACGTGGAATTCAGTTCTGTCAGTCCTGACAACGGAGATGGTGTGAGTAGAATCGTGACGTAATTAAACACAACGAATAGGTGTCGGCTGCATGGTTGGTTGAGATATTTACTTATTCAGTCGACACATGCGTTGTAGCCCGAAATCCACCTTTTCACTTGATTTTCACTATTTTTGTGATTGAGAGAATTCAATCCCGGAACGTTGAATCGAGTACCCCCGGAGAGTAACCTTATGTTAGGGTCAAGGTCAAGTTATGGTACCAAAATTTTACATTAAGAACCAGCTAGGCTATTTAGTGTTATTTCAGGATAGACAATTCTTCCATTAATTGTCATCATCAAATGTTATTGATGGTGGGATGGGGAGGGGGAAGGCAAGTTTTCAAACAGCTGCGCTGTAGATCATAAGGTCTATCACACAGGCAAGTTTTTTTAGTCCTCCCCTCCGAATCCTTCCAATGCTAAATATTGTACCATGTTAGTCCAAAAATGACCTAAATCATGTCAAGTGGACCTTAAACCCATCTCTCTCTCTCTCTCTCTCAAATGTGATTCAGTGAAAAGTAGCCAACCTTAAAAGGCATTATCACTCTACATGTACATGAGAAACAATATATAATAAATAAGCTATTTTGTATGAGAGTTCTTCATTTAAACTCCCTGACAAATGCTAAAATGATCTTGAATAAAGTTAGAACGTGTATCCCTGTAATTACTTTCGCAGACATATACAATGTACCAACAAATTAATTGGTTTCCTAAGCACTAAGGTCCTTTTAAGTGTCTGTGACATATTTTTTGGTACAATATGGTTTTAATAGAAAATAGGTTAGACAGCAAACAAATGTAAAAAAACAGTAATTTTTTTTTACTTGAAAGTATTCTTGCTGAACCATAAAACATAATTATCTTTATGCATAAGTCTAGTAGTTCTTAATAGATTGTTTCTGTTTTTTTAGGCTTCCCCAAGTAGTATGGTAACAGACATAAAAGAACAGGTATCAGCTTTATTAGGAGTACCAGCTTCAAGTCAACGATTAACATTTAAAGGAAAGACTATGCTAGGTTTGTTTATCTCCAAATTTAAAGAAAAACTGTGAGGCAGATATACTAAGATGAAATACAAATGGATCCCTAATTTGATTATAAGACATGATGTAGCTAAAACATTGTTTTTAACTGGATGTTTACTGACACAAGAAATTCATCAACAACCCACGGTGGTCATAACAGCTTACTTTACAGTTAAACATCGGCACAATGTTGAGTCCGAATTGTTGCAACATAATGCCGTCTTTCACACAGTCCGGCAGTGCATAGTCTGCACTGAACAGTGTCAGTACTGATGTGGACCCCTAACAGTACATGTACACATGTAGTAACAGTACAGGAAGCTGGGAAAATGTGATCCAGCTGATCTTGTTGAGGCAGTTTTCACTTGTTTCCATCTTTACCTTGGCCGATATTTAGAGCATTGTTTTGTGGTTCATTTATGCAATCTGGATAAAATCATTCTCCCATGTTATCATCATGATCTGATGTTATATTCTGAATTACAAGATTAAAGTTGTCAAACGTGATTTACAATCATCCATTTAAAAAAGATGTGCATTTTCTCTGCATCTCAGTAGATTTGTCTAGTTATATTTTTTGCTAATTGCACAGGAGTAAACTATGTCAGCACAAAGACATTTTATTTCTAATGGTGTCTTTATTAGATATCTGGGGGTGGCCGAATGGTTAGCGTATGTGCGCTGTATCATAACGTCTGTTTTTGAGTCAGCTTGTGGTTTTGATTTCCCGGTTGTATGTGACAAGGAGTAGGGTCGCCTGTCCAACCTCGTGGGTTTTCTCCAGGTCCTCTGGTTTCCTCTCACTGCTAAAGAGCCCTACACACAAGCGAATTATTGAAATAAAATTAAACCATGTTAGTCCTGAAACGACCTAGTTTGTGTCGAGTTTACTTTAAACCCCTGTTTAAACCCGCTATCAAATTATAACATAACAGTTGTAAGGAAATGATACAAAAACAAGCTAAAAGCTTAAATAAATTTGCAAGGATGGAGCATAAAAGTTGGACGTTAAACTCTATTTCATTTCTACTGGGTGTCCACATGGGCAACTTTTAAACAAATTTAAATGAATAATGAAAGCGAAATAATATGTGAGATATATTTGTTAAAAATTTGTCTGTATGCAACTGTATTCAAACGTGAATTTTAGTTTTACCCAGGCCTTGAAATAACCATTTTACTGTAGTTGTACCTGATGAAATGTGACAGGTGGTTTATTTCCAAGCTTTATGATATTGTAAATATATCATGATGGTCATTCATTGCACATGTTTCCACTTTAGAGAAAGCGCTGATAATCTCGTAGTGTACACAATTGAAAAGCAGGACTTTGATACGACTTAAATTGTAGATTATATATTTGTCATGAAAACTCAAAACTCAAATATTTTAAGGATGTTGCCCTTTTTTTGGTTGAAGCCTGCTTTTGTAAATAATTCAGTTTTCATGAATAATCATCTCTGGTACGTACAAATATAGTGTTTCCAGAATTTTTCAGTTCCTTCAAAGTTAACCTGTGATTCCCAGTCCACACATTTTTTATCTGTATTTTTCAGATAGTAAAAAATTAAGTGAATATGATATAATGGATGGTGTAAGAATTATGTTAACTGTTAAAAAATCTGGTAATAAAGACTCTTCTGTGATAACTGCCTCTCCTGTTTGGCAGAAAATGTTAGAATTTCTAAAAAGACACTTTAAAGAAAAGGATGCAGATTTAGTGTTGAAAGAATTTATAAAGGTAGAGTAATTTATAGAAATTTTGTTTTCTGGTATTTAAAGATGGGTTCCCAGAAAAGTATTTATCGGGTAGTTATTTCCAATAAAAGTATGGCAATTTTGGTATATATGGAAAGTAGAGATATCCAATCTTACTAGAAAAATATTGGATCCCCCGAAAAACACTCATGGAGCATATACAGGACAAAATGTAAGGGTTCCCCTAATCGACAGCCTGACGATTGGGAATTTCTGCATGTGTGATGTCAAAGGTCACATGCGAACATTGAGCGCTTGATGTACAAGTTGATAAACTTTATGAAGAGTTAGACGTACAACAATTTCTGAGATAAAAATGACGGAAAAGACGCAGGTAGTGGATAATCCGAGAATTTAATTAGGATTCGATATTTGTAATAAATAGTAAGCGATTAAAGAAAACATCGTCTTATGTATGCAATGAATTCTCCTCTTGACTTCCAAGAGAGTAAGTCACGTGAGGTAAACATGACCTGGTTTGATCGAATTTTTATAGCATGGCATTCATTTGCAATTACAATGTTTCAAAAGGATTTGAAGCAAAATTATGACAAATTAATTAGTTTGAATATGTTTTTGGTCCATATATACCATTAAATCACCTAGTTTGTAGTACGCAGGAATGTATCTTTACGAGTTTGATGCCAAGTATCCTTAAAGATAGATCATGTAACAATTTTTTAGAAATACATCCTACACATGTAATTACCAGGTAGCACCAGACGTAGATGTAAATATTGACTACCCCTGAGAAAAGTTTTGAGTTTTATACATGTAGGCCATTTTCGAACCACATGAAACTACTTGTTCCTTGACTGCATCAAATAACCAAAGTGAAATTTGGGGGGAAAGGGTTAAAGGGACAATAACACTCTTGCTGGCTTGACAGCTCCAGTAAATATATATTAGCCTTATTCTAAGTACACCTGTTGTGTAAATTATCCATTACATCCTATTTTACTTGTCCAGAGGGTTGGAAAATATTTTTAAATCCAAGTCACATTTGAAAAGGTTTACGTTGGGCTTTTCAAATCATTAAGTTGAATTTTTCCAATTTTTTAAATTAGGTGTGTTAAGATGAAATTTGTATCATCCATTAATTGGAATACTGTAAAATAGTACAATTTGTTGACCAGAATAAAGATTGGGACATATTATTCAGTTACAACAAGAGTGGTATTGAGCCTTAAATGTCGTACTTTTCTGCACCAACCAGGCTGCTGAGGACAGAAATACCGCCCAAGTCACATAAACGGTCCTTTAATCGTTCCCAGCCATGCATGTGACTGACGGTTTGAGGGAGTAAAGGAATCAGTATTTTCGGGCATTCCTTCGGCTAAAGGGTAATAACAGAACTATTTTCATTGTCACAATTTTGGCAAGTTTTGTACAATGAGCAAGAAATATACATGTATCAATACATAAATTTTATACTCTGCATTGGAGAAATCATTTAGGGCTGTCAAAAAATATTGCTATATTGAAATACAGTCTTCTGTGATACACACATTTGATACATTTTGACGTTTTCGCTTATTTTTATTTTAGAAATATGAAGTTAATTATTTGTTTTTCTTTGTAGAACTTTGATAATGGTCTGTCTAGTCTCAGCCTTGATGATATTGAGAGATTAGCAACTTCACAATTACAAACACAAATAACCTGAATACACAACAGAGAAATAACAAGAGACAATTTACTTAACATACCCAGCATAATGAACCAAAATTATTTAAATATATCATGGAGATCCTGTTTTTTTATTGTGTACAAAGTCTACATGTACAAAAAAAAAAAAATCAACGATTATTTCTGATACTACATGCAACAGATGTAGTTAAGTAATTCCGTTTATTATAACAGAAATATAGAATATTTCTTTTAATTGTTTCTGTTTCTATCCATTATTTATAAATTTTGCTCCATTTTATTGTTTCATCTTATATTTAAAAAAATATTGGAGATGGACACAGCTCACCATTAATTCCTACGCTGGTTACCCACAAATTAAGTGTCAAAGTTAATTTTAGTCTTTCCCTCCCTTTCCCGCCCCCCCCCCCCCCACCATTTTGCATGGCAATGTTTTGTTGACTTTTTGGTGTAGAATCGAAAAAAAGGTTTGAATATATTATTATTTTCTGCCAGTTTTTGGTGAATATTCATGATTTTGAGGCGGAAGGATAAAAGGGTTAAGAGGTTGGTTAGCTTGAATTGTCGGGTGGACAGGTACGTGTTAACTTGTGTCCTACATGTATTTCCAGTTTGTGTATCTCAAGTTTTCCATGATGAACCTCATACCAGCTTTTGAGCAAGAGGTTGGTACATTGTGCTCCATCTGTGATAGAAAGCGTGCAACCCCACAAAAATTTGGGAAAAAAGAGATGAGAATTAACATTAAAGTCAACAGGGATATTAATGGTGATCTGTGGCCAGATGAGAGGCTGTTGCAAAAGTTATCTCCCTTACATTTTTCCAGATAACTTTCTCTTTTGGAGATTGAGAATATAGTGATTCATCCAGTTATGTTTCTGTGGCATGTATTTTAATAAAGACTTTCCATTTTATCTCAAATAAGTAATATATAGATAATGCTGTACATAGTGTAATAAATTTTACTGTTTATGTGTTTTTAAAACACGCTAGTTTTGTTAAATATAACCAAAGAGGATGAGACCAGACAGATTGGCTTTATATATTTTGCTTTGCCAAAATGTTAATTTCAGATGATTTTTATTTGATCTGAAAAATAATTTATAAGTAAAATATCCCCTACAAGGCTGTGCTCTATGCAAAGGCGGATCCAGAGAACATGGATTGGGGGCGGGGCGCACAGGTGGCGAAGCTGCATGCTGCAAACACTTAAGGCACAATATGCACATGGGGGGGGGGGGGCGGCGGAAAATTTTGAAAACTAGAAACCTGATCTGATCTGAGACAAGAATTTGGTTCTAATATAATGAATTATAATGAGGGAATTTTGCCCGGACAGTGGCACTACTGCCTACTCTTATTTCAAATTCCAACAGTCAAGTGTTCTCGTACGCGTGGACTATCTCTTCACCGACTCTTAAAGAAAATATAAAATCAAGAAGAAAAACAAATTTATGATAAAAATATGTCATGGTCCATTTATTGTGTGAATAATTAATATACTTCAACAATACATTACAAAACAATATAAAATATAACAAATATATATAATATACTTTTATCATATATATACATACACATTTACCATAATATACAAATATAAATGGATATGTCTTTGGCAACATGGAAATACATATTTAAAAATAATTCTGGATAACGTATCTGTGCAATACTTTGACTATTAACTATTTTAATTTCACATTCTTTACTTAACCATTTGGGATGGGGGCCAACGCTTGCGGTTCAGATAATAATGTCTAGTGGCATGGGATTTGATCCGAACTTTGTACGTGACAAGGAGTAGGGTCACCTGTCCAGCTTTGTGTTTTTCCTATGGTTTCCATCCTTTGCTAAAGACTCCTAATGCGCAGGTGAGTTATTGAAAGAAAATTATAACCATATTGACCAGTAAAAAAAGGGTTAAAGGTCAACAATTTATCTTAATATTACAGTACTAGATTTTTCAATTACTTCTATTAAACTAAAAGTACATTTGTCAACAACTTGAATATTACAACCAATTCCTATTAAAGTGGGGATCACGTGGCTTAGTGGGTAAGACACTGACTCGCTAGCCTAGAGGTCAGGTGTTCGATCCCTGCATTGGCCGAGAAAGTTCATTCAGATTTTCCGGTGTGGTTTCCCCCTTGTCAGTGATGCAGGATGGAGGGCCTGACAAAACTGAGGTCCCGTGTACACATTGGCGTGCACGTAAAAGATCCCTTGGCAGTTGGAATTCGATATAAGAGTAGGCCGTAGTGCCGCTGCCCGGGCAAAATTTCCCTCATAGCACACTGTATGGCGTATGCCCGTCTTCATTAGCCCAGTTTAGGAGCAGAACAGTAGGACGTTAAACCCCATTTCATTTCATTTCATTTCATTTCCAATTAAAGTACATTCTTCAACAATTTGACTATAAAATTAAAACCTTAAAATTAAATAGTAATATACCATATGAAATATGGTTGGACATACCGATCTATATAGAATAAATAATTCATAAATACAAACTGTTATACAATGACGTTATCATCATACTCGTAAAAATGCCTGGACTATTTTGTTTTTAAACATTCCAATTTAGAATAATATGAATATCATTATTTAAAATTTTAATAAAAGATTATGCTAAAATAATAAATATTGAAAAAAAATAAATTGTGATACCAAATAAACTTGAATATTATGCGTATATAAACACAGTTAATGTGAACACATGCCTATTGTGAGATACAATTTTATTAACATATTAAGTAAAACTTATTTTATTGCACTTTAACGACTACTTTTTAGGGGATTTTGACTCTGATTGTAGAGATGTTAACTCTCAACAAAACAATTCAGATCTACACTGAAAATTCTTCATTTGACAGGTCAGGTTGACAGATTTCATTGATAGTTATTTCTGAATAAACTGCATTTATCTCCCCTTCTACATGATAAGCTGGCTGCTGATATGTGGACGGTTTGGAAGATTTGGATTGGAAAGAATTTTGGTTCTTAATCATGGAAACCTGAAAATAAAACATACAATTATATTTTTAAGACAATTTATTTACCAGACAATTTTATACCGATCAGATTATAATTTTCGGCATTTGAGGGTTCACAAAGTCAAACAAGGTTCATTTGAACATTCACAAGGTTCACAAAGTCAAACAAGGGCCATACCTCTAGAAGTTATTGAAGGAAATTGCTGAAATTCACAAATTCAAATGATGCATATAAATTCCATACACATTAGATAACTTTCAACAATTGAGCATTAACAAGGTTCAAAAAAGTGAAACAAGGGCCATAACTCTAGAAGTAATTATTGTAAATTGCTGAAATTCAATGACTTTTGCCATTAAAGCGTTCACATGGTCCAACAAAGTTCAACATCCTACTGTTCAGCTCCGACTGGGCTAATGAAGACAGGCAATCGCCGTACAGTGAGCTATGAGGAAAATTTTGTCTACTCTTTTAACGAATTCCAACTGCCAAGGGATCTTTTACGTGCACGCCAATATGTACACGGGACCTTGGTTTTTCCTCCATCTGAACGACTAGACAGCTGTCCTTATCAGGCCATCAACGTCAGAAAATCTGGATGAACTTTCTCAGTCAACCCGCGACCTCCAGACTAGCGAGCCAGTGTCTTACCCACTTAGCCACTGTGGCTCCACTTTGTTGTAATTAGAGTCATACACTTTTAAATTATTATAATGAAATAGATACATGTACATACCCTATGGAAATGGCAAGCACATTTTCCTTGTAGGAAGTCTTTATATCTCGCCATTGTCATATTAAATGTATCGACTACATGGTAGCCATTTTTAGTTGCATAATCTAGTAGTACTCTATTGTGGTTTAATAATTTTTCATGGTCAGGCTGAAATAAAAAAGATATTCAAAACCTTTTATAGATGACAATGTTGGAAGAAAAGATGAAATTTGTTTCCATGAAAACACAAAACGATTCAATGCAATAATAGGTTGATGTGTGGTTCAAAATTTTATAAAGATAACATGAATGGTTTATTAGATACGTTCAGGAAACTAACGAATTTAGGACACAAGGATAGAAGGAGTCCATTTAGATATCCCTACCATAACTTTGTTAGAGAGAGAGAGCTGCGGTTTAACATCCACTGGACACAAACTAGGTCATTTCGGGACTAACATATGGTTCAATTATATTTCAACTATTTGCTTGCACCGAGGACCTGGAGTAAACCCACAAGGTTGTCACGTACAACCTGGGAATCGAAACCACGGCAGATGACTCAATGACAGACCTTATGATACAGCGCATGGACATCCAACACCCCCCAACTTTGTTTGTTGCGGGGATAATTAATACATGATTAACCAGAAAAACATGGGAGACTATTCAGACTAGAATGGGTATTCTAGAATTATGGGCAAGGAACAGCATCAAGTCTAAGTTGTTGTGGTGCACATAAAAAAAACACTTGACATCAAACCCAAATGATAATAACTAATCCCTCACATCACCTTCGAGATCCTAGTGTAGAAAAGACAATTAAAACAAAATTTTGAACTCAGACAAGCGAAACGAAATAGGATCTGTGTTTTTATCAGATTGTTATATAACTTACCTGTGATAAACAATGGACACCACTAACAGGTTGATGAAATCCTGCACCTAATCCCTTTAATACCAGTCTAATACCTGTAAGACCCTCTCTGAAAAATAACATCTAAAATAATAGAATCTATCTCTAGGCCGTTTAATTAATATCTGCATCCACAATGGCGATATTGCCGACAAGGACAGTTTTATCGCCAACGAGGAAAGTTATTCCGCCGACGAGGAAAGTTTTATCGCCGACGAAGAAAGTTTTTTCGCCGACAAGGAAAGTTTTATCACCAACAAGGAAAGTTTTAGCCGGTTCAAGTCCTAAAGATTTAAACAAAAACCTGGGATAACCCAATGGTAACATGTTATCCCAGTCAACAAATGAATATAATTAGTGTCTGGGGTTATTGGCATGCAGTTGGAAATTGATATAAGAGTAGGCCGTAGCACCGCTGTCCGGGCAAAATTTCCCTCATAGCACACTGCATGGCGTATGCCCGTCTTCATTAGCCCAGCATATTAAATGACCAAACAAAATTATATGTACAACAATTTCAAAACAATCTGATCAAAATTATTCAATATATTACTTTTTATTTTATGATCAGTAGTGGAATACCGCATTTTATCAGTGAAATAAAAGTGTTATTCCACTGGCTAGTTGTTTTTACCTAAAATGATTGTAAAATCATAAAATAAATAGAACATTTGTCGTTTTGTCGTGAATAACATATTTTATTTCATCTCTAAGCAAGAAAACGTTTATATTTTCACTCATGCTACGCATTCGTGAAAATATAAGTTTTCTTGCTTCTCGATGAAATAAAATATGTTATTCACTCTAAAACGACAAATATCCTCTATTTATATGTCAGACCCTCTAAAACACTTGGTTGATTGGCGCATGACATCATATGCACTACACGATATACACTTATGTTTATTGATGGTTCAATTAACAAATCATTAGTTAAAAAAACCACAACACAATTTGTACTTGAACACGATAAGAGAATACTTGCCGAAACGTCGTACTATATGTGTATAACCCATATAAATTGTGTTGTGGTTTTTTTAATGTGCTTAATCGCTAAATGCCACTCAAGGATTATAACAAATCATAACCTAAGCTAGAAATAAGTAAATACTATATTAGACAGAAGAATACTATGTTTTTTGTATCACAATGTATTTGTTTAATTGTGTTTGACTCAATCTATAAATGCTGACAGTATGAAAATGATTTCTTTTTACAACTAATGGCTTAAAAAAGGTTTTTACCTATTTAATGCCTTTTTAACAACATTAATATGGTGTTTTCCCAACCAATGAACACCACCCATCACTAAAACTGTATTACTGTTATTCTGTAATGGCATACTTCTAAAAAACATGAATGGTAAAAATTTAGATTTTATTAATCGAAGTTACAGCATTTCATTATGAATTCAGGGGGTTGTGGGGAGGGGGAGGGGGAAGGAGAAGGAGAGGGAGGGGTAGGAGCCATGGAGGCTCAGAGAGTATGGTGCTGGCTCGCTAACAACTGCTGCCTGAGAAAGCCCCTCAGGAGTTTCCTGCCTGATTTCTCTTATCAGTGGTACACAACGGAAAGCTTGTCAAGAAAAAGTGTCTAGTAGTTCGGAGAGGATGAAAAACCATGATACATTGTGTACTCATTTGCGTGCATGTAAATTCGATGAAGAGTAGGCGAATTCATTGCTGTCCAGACACAATTTTCCTCTCGTTATATCGTCTGGCATATGTCCATCTTCATTAGCCTGGTTGGTGCTGAAAATTAGGACATTCAATTTCATTTCATTTTATTATGCGATTTAACATTTCTTAAGATTTTAAGAGAGACCCAAGTCAATGGAAAATTAAGCATCATATTTTTTAGTACTTTCATTAAATATAGGTATACATACCGTTTCATTAGTTGATATAAAGCTTTATCAAATACAGGTCGGTGTTCAGCTGGTAACCAGAACTGTGGATAATACGCAAAACTAAACATAGTTCTATTATTATTGAGATTAGAATAGACTTTTAAATTATGTGTTTTATCCCATTCTAACAGCGAACCATTCACTTGTTCTGTCATATAATGTAGTATACCACGATTAGTAGAATCACCAATAAATAAAACCTGTAATGGAATCAAATGACGAAATTAATTACCACGGTACATCATTCTCAATCTCGTCAGGGAAATGAAATGGGGTATAACATCCTACTTTTCTACACCGACTGGACTAATGAAGATGAGACCCCTCGGGGAAATTGTTAATAATTTTTTTTTATTCTTTATTCATTCATAGATATCGTTTAGTTTGTTCCTACTGCCAAGTAACGGACAATGCAGTCAAACTGCTTAGCAAAATATATAACACAAATTTTTCATTACAAAATCCAGAATTTTGTATAGATGTATGTCATAAAATTTCTATAGACAATATCCGGGACTTAAACCAGAATACGACATTGAGTGATATGAGTATTAATTTCCATGTAATACGTTAAAATCATACTACCTTTTTTCCAGCTAAACAATCTTTTAATTTTTCCCTTGATATGCGTTTATGTTGACATGTTTTAGGCTGCCATATTGCCTGTTTCCAATAGCAACTGTTGCTATCTCTACACAGATTACAAGGAACATACCATTCACCTGCACAAAAACAAACATTTTACAAACTGTTGAGTAAATTTGATAACGTAAGTGTGATGCTAATCTCCTGTCAAAAAATCAAGCAATAATTGTATTCAATATAATTGTGACTTGTGTATTTCCAGTTCAATTACTAATTGTCATTAAAACAATTTAAAATAATGATGGTGTATTTAAAATTATTTATGTATTGACGAACCTGGAGAGTTACCCCTAGAACATGATGGTAATGTTGATGCTAGATTGTTGGTAAAAGACTTCCAGTTAGAATGAGATGATACAGGCTGTAAACCACAAGCATCCCACATTGAAAATGATAGAGAACAGTCCTATAAAGAAACATTTTCACAAATTAGGTAGGTATCACTTTTGAATATCTGGTAAAAAAATCTACCTGTTTAGTCACGAACAATCACCGAATCAAACTCACAACAACAATTGCGACATACCAAATATAACAAGTGCAATGTTTACGACTTTTTGGATACCCAAATCAATGAAAATATTCCAGTCATAATCCTTTTTTTTGAAGCGGGGAGCTATAATCGCTCACTAACCAGGAGGTCTGATGGAGTTCCTCTGGATTCGTTGTCTGGTTTCCTATCGTCAGAGGTCAGACGGGAAGGAGGGCCTGGCAAGTTAAAGGATTTTGCTCTGATGGAATGAAAAATTGAGGTCCAAAGCATACCACTGACAGTATATTAAAGATCCCCCTGGAAATTGAAATCACAATCATAACACACTACATTGCGTCTGCACCATTTACCAAGTTGGTGCGGACAAGTAAGACATTAAAGGTCATTGGAAAAGCTTCAAATTTTTTTATGTCGACATAGAAATATAGACTAAAATATGAGCAGAAGGACAAAACTTACATCACAGATTATTTACTGACGGAAAGTTACCACTACTCATGGAGAAAGGTGGAAATTACTAACGTTGAAATTTAACTGTTGCAGGTAATATTGACTTATGGAAAGGATATGTTGACATAATTACTTGCATTCTGTAAAAACTTTATGAAGCTTTTCCGGTGACCTTTAATTAAACACTGTTTCATATCATTTGTTTGAAATAAAACAGTGATGGAATATGAAGAATGTTACCTGCTTTAAACTACAGATTTGATGAGGTTTAGAAGAAGAGAATGATGACTGTATATCTGGATCTTGTCTTGTTATTAATATAGTATATGTATTAACAACCCATGTATCAGAATGACTAGTATCAACTATAAATATCCACATCTTATTTTCTCCTATACCCAATGTTATATTCGATATCCTGAAATTTATACATAATTAATTAGTGGCCACATTGATTGCCGATTTTACTATTCAAATCTTATTAGAATACTATTAGAATATTCATTATTAGTCATTATTTGAATGCTATACAAGTCATTATTCAAAACTTATAAATAATTTGTTGTCACCCCCGTTGCTGCTTTTACCATTATAATATTCATTACAAGTCATAATTAAAAATTTATACATGATAAATTGCTACTTGTACTACTGGTATATTCATTTTAAGTCATTATAGTTATTATTTGAACACTATTAAAATATTCATTATATGTCATATTCAAAATTTATACATGATTAATAGGAATATTAATTTGAAGTCACTATTCGAATAATATTTGAATAGTCATTATTTGAATACTATTAGAATATTCATTATAAGTCATTATTTGAATACTATTAGAATATTCATTACATGTCATTATTTGAATGCTATTTAAATATTGAATACAAGTCATTATTTAGTTATTTGGATATTTATTATTCAAAATTTGAATTATATTCTCACCCACTATCTCCTTGCTTGTCTTCAAGTCTGGCTTGAGATGAACAACTCTTAGCAAACGCCATAACAGTTAATAACATGACATCATAGTGTACTACAGCTTCATAATCAGTGACGAGAGGAGAAAACTCTGGTGTTAATTTGATTGGTGGATATGTTGATAGGTAGCCTAAATATGGCATACTAGATGGATCTAAAATTATAAAGATCATATTTACACATTTTGTTTATTAGAGAGAGAGAGAGAGAGAGAGAGAGAGAGAGAGAGAGATTGTGTTAAACATCCACTCCACACTGATTTTGGGGTAGTACAATTTTTTCCCCGTAAATTGACTGTAGGCCTACATACGGGTCTTTAGCAGTGGGAGGAAACCGGGAAACTTGAAGAAAACCCATGAAATTGGACAGGCTTTGGATTAAAACCATGCCACTAGACTGAGTGACAGCCCACACATTAGACCACTCAACCACCCAAATCCCATATCTGATAAAATATAATTAATTACCTTTATCACAATTTGGCCTTGTAAAATTTTCTGGAAGAAACAAAAAAATGTATTGGAGAAACAATCTACTCTGATAGAAATATAAAGTGGTATTCTGTGTATTCCATATCAACCAGTCAACTTGTCAATAACTTATTTGTAGATTTAATTTGAATATTCAACATTTGGTATGTTCAATTTAATTCTATATATGAAATGTGATGAACAAAATATACAGCCAGTCAGCAGACAATTCTTCTTGGAGCCCTCTGCCCTTCCATGCTACCAATACATGGGACCTCAATTTTTCGACAATACTCTTGTTTTTTGCTAGAATTTGTTATAAACCTACTCACCAAGTACTTTATTTGTGTTTACTGTTTTTCTTGGCTCCAATTTATTCATTATTTTTATGCCACCTTTTATTGGTTGTTTGGAATCTCTAGAAAAATAAAACCATAGCAACTATAATTATCATGATTTCACAGTATATAGTACATTTCACTAATCTGAAACATAATAAATACCTGGCAACCACAGAGTGGTCTCCCCACCATTGAATGTTAAATTTTTTTTTAAACAAAAGGACTGCCCAATAAGTGACAGTTTTGTGGGTACAGAATAAAATATACTGTTTTGAGAATGCTCTCCCCACCCCACCCTTCACAATTATCAATTTAAGTACCGTAATTAAAACATCTTTGTCCATGACTCCTCCTCCCTTTCACCAACAATCCTCCATATGCCACTACTGGCAACATATTGTTCCAGAGAATCAAGAGATTATATGAAAATATTATTTGTTAATTATACCAGGTGCATATCCAGAGAGGGGTCCAGACCCTCCCCTGCTTGAGCACAGCATTTTTTTATTCCTACATTTATCGAAATAACGTTGAACAAACATGCGAAGCATTGTTGCCATTTTGGCCTCAGTCCACTCTAATCCTACACTCATATACGCCTAAATGAGCAGAAATATTGTCTCAGAGCTCCTGATTTTATCAAATTCTTGGCTAATCCCCCAGATATCACGCCAAACTTGATGTTGTCGACTCCACCTTTGACCCCCCTCCCCTCCCCCCACCGCTCAAATTCCTGAATACTCCCCTGTATACTTACATAGGAATGTTCATGTCATCGTAAGTTTCAACCCTATCTTCATTATCAAAATTAGCATAGAATCTCTCTAAACTCAACAGGTAGGAATGTAGACTAGATGTCGTATGTTGACCATTCTCAATTCGTCTACTTGTTTTATTTTTATTGTAAATGTTTTCCAACAAACTGGTATATTTTACTGATGATCTGAGAGGGTACAGCTGTCAAATAAATAACAAATTGTCAGTTTTACAAATCAGAAATAGGTCAGTTACTGGAAGACTATGTTTGATGTACCTTGAATTGAGAGAATTACGTTGTCCAGGCTTGGAAATCAACACTGAATCATGCTGTTGATTTTGATAGAATCATCCAATAGAGATAGCCATAGGATGTTTTGATTCTGGACACAGGCTGGCTGCCAGAATAGATGAAATGGGGTTTAACATCCTACTGTTCTCCTCTGACTGAGCTAATGAAAACAGGCATACGCCATGCAGTGTGGGAGGAGGGAAATTTTGTCCAGGCAGCGGCACTATGGCCTACTCTTATATCAAATTCCAACTGCCAAGGGATCTTTTACGTGCACGCCAATGTATACACAGGACCTTGTTTTTTCGTCTCATCTGAATGACTATACAGCTGTCCTTGTCAGGCCCTCCATCGTGCACCACTGACAAGCAAAAACCACGTCGTAAAATCCTGATGAACTTTCTCGGCCAATGCTGGGATCGAACACTCGGCAAGCCAGCTTCTTACCCACCTAGCCACCATGGCTCCCCAGAATAACTGACTTTCACAGTAGCTTCAAATCAAGAGAATATCTATAATATTCATTTTGGTATTATAGATTGAAATTGTAGTCTTGAAGATCCTCATTGAAATTTGACTATGATGTTTAAAATATGTTCACTGCCGTGTTTCTGTTTCAAACACGTCTGACATGGAAGATTTTGAAACCAAAATCCTGGCCCGCACTCTGATTTAGAGCATTTTAACACTGATTACCTTTCTAAAATTTCCCATATTTAAATGTTCCTGTCTGTTTTTTAAAGCATACTGTACATCATCTTCATGTAAACATAAACTTCTATCTTTATTACAGATCTGTTGATTCTGTGAAATAAAACATTAAAGATACATTATGGGAGATTAGATAAAGAGTTGGCAGTTCTCACTATAATAGTTAAAAACTAGATAATGTAAAGGGAATTTGCTGAAAAATTCTGTCAAATTGATCCACCCTGAACCATAAACTTCTATCTTTATTACAGATTCATTGATTCTGTGAAATAAAACATCAATAAACTATTATATATCTCATGTTACATCATGCTAGAATTCAATATAGATCAATTCTCCTTGTCAGTGGTGCGGGACAGAGGACCTTACAAGGACAGCTGTCTAGTCATTCGGATGGGACAAAAAACCGAGGTCCTGTGTATACATTGGCGTGCACGTAAAAGATCCCTTGGCAGTTGGAATTTGATATAATAGTAGGCCATAGTGCCGTTGCCCGGGCAAAATTTCCCTCATAGCACACTGTATGGCATATGCCCGTCTTCATTAGCCCAGTCGGAGCAGAACAGTAGGACATTAAACCCCATTTCATTTCATTATGGATCAATTTGTGAAATTATGAATATCAAATGTCATCAAGTGTTGATGAGCGTCTGCACATGCACCCTGTCCATGATCTCGTGAGAGAGGCAGTCTGTGATTGGCTCTCGTCCTGTACAGTCGAATAAAGTGTATAAGGTTTTTTTCATTAAATAGTGTTGTCTAATTCACTCTAACACAATTCATTAATTGATGAAGCGGGTTATGAACCTGTTAAACTCTAGAAATTGTCTGTTTAACATATAATCATACCTTGTTAATCGTAGTTGTCTCCCTTTCATTTTAAATAAAGCCTGTATCACACTACTGCACAGCAGAGTGGATGATTACGTCTAGCCCAAAGATCCATTCACCTGATTTGATAATACTTTTATTGTTTATTGTTTATTGCTTGCCATGTCTGATTTGTGATGTGTTTTGTTCGAATGTATGTATTTTGGTTATAATGCTTGTTCTAAACTTTAATAACTTACCTCTAAAATATCTGTAATTCCAAGTTCTTCCAATCCCCTGGCAACATCCATGGTTACTGTATCCTTAGAAACCAGCATGGATGCTAAATCTTCAAGGATTTTTTGTCGCACCAGATATTCATTCAATGATGCTTGCTTACCATGATGGGAAGAAGATTTTATCTAAAAACAAAAACAATTTGAATTCTTTTATGAACTTCTTTATCATTTTATCACATCCACTAGTCAGTTGAGAAGTGTCAAGATCTTTGAAGTGACAAATTACTCAGGTCTGTAGAAAGGCTTCACTTTAAAAATTTAATCCCAATTTCTAATTTTTAAGTGTATTCACATAATTTATGGCAATTTTTCTGCTGGTCAGTCAGGACGGGAAAATATGAATGAGAGCGAGAGAGAAATGGGGTTTAACCTCCACTCGACACAGGTAATTTTGGGACTAACATATGGTTCAATTTTATTTCATTAATGTCCACCTGAAACAAACTAGGTAGAGAGAGAGAAATGGGGTTTAATTTGCTTGCACGTAGGGGTCTTTAGCAATGGGAGGACAGACGACCCTACTCCTGATCATGTAAAAGTGCCGAATTGAAACCACACCACTTGGCTCAATGACATACCTTATGATGCAACGAGCACACGTTAACCATTCGCCCACCCAACCCCCCAAATATGAATGAAATGAGAAACCCGGTTTCTAGTAAACATTTGCCTTTGGAAAAATGGTGTTTTGACAAATAACGACCCCCATTATGTCCATTCAACTACAAAAATAACTAACAACACATAGTTACCGTGCAATATTTAATTTCAAAATGCCTTTTGCAGAATTTAATGTGAGCCATGAGTATCATGCACCTACCTGTAGAATTGTGGGATAAAATGTTGTATTAAAAACAGTCACCATGTCTAACAGCTGGAAACAAGTTGGACATCTGAAACATAATTAAAATCAGATATAATTACATGTCAACAATAAAAGAAAGAGAAATGGGTTTTAACATCCACTTAACACAAACTAGGTCATTTCGGGACTAACATGGTCTCTAGCAGTGGGAGAACTTGGAGAAAATCCACATGGTTAGGTAGGTGACCCTACTCCTTGTCAAGTGGGGATTGAAGCCCCACCACTTGACTCAATGACTAACCTTATGATCCAAAGACCATGTGTAAGACCATATATTCACCTACCTAACTCCCTCAACAATCAAAGACGCTAATTGAGGGAATTTAAATCCCGTTCAAACTACAATATTGTGAAAGTTGAATCTCTAAAAGGAATATCAGTCTATAAATGGTTTAAGTCCATTCAGTATTTACAAACATATGATAAATTAAAAATTTCACATCATTCTGCATCCTCGGCAGACAATACAAATGAAATGGGGTTAAACATCCTACTGTTCTGCTCCTAAACTGGGCTAATGAAGACGGGCATATGCCATACAGTGTGCTATGAGGGAAATTTTGCCCGGGCAGTGGCACTATGGCCTACTGTTATATCGAATTCCAACTGCCAAAGGATCTTTTACATGCACGCCAATGTATACATGGGTCCTTGGTTTTTAAACCCATCTGAACGACTATACAGCTGTCCTTGTTAGGCCCTCAGTCCTGCACCACTGACAAGGGGGACAATACAAACAAGCCAGTGCCACATATACATGTTGGTTAAAATCTTTTGATGGGCTTCTTTTTAATCTGAATGAATCTAAGCTGGAAGATTATTGACTTGTTTTCTTAATTAAATGTTATATATTACATATTACCGAGAATCAAGTGATGAAAAAACAGATATTGTCCAAAAAACAAAGGAAATGATGACTAAAAAATACACAATGAAGATCATTGGCTTTCAACTACATACTAAACCATTAAAAATAAACAGTAAATTTACAATGTTTTAAAAAATGTTTATCAATAGCATTCCAGAGTCACATAATCAATTTTTATATTTGATTTCTATTGTGGAAAAAATGACATCAATTCAAAAGAATCAAATTAAAATATAGCAGTCTGCTGCCCAGAAATGATCAATTCTCCATCAATTTGTTAAAAAACAACCTAAATACCGTAAAAATGTAAACAAATGTGGTTTAGTGTCCTACTTTTCTGCAATAACTGGGTTAGTGATGTCGAGCATACACCATATAGTCTGCTATTAATGAATATTGGCCCGGAGAGTGGCATCTCTGCTTAGTCTTTATTAAATTCTAAAGGCCAACAGTTTATTCATGTTCACGCCAACTAGTATACAAATTGACCTTGTTTTTTCGGTTCATCTGACTGTAAGGCCTTCCATCTTGCACCACTGACAATGGGAAACCAGGGAGGAAGTTTGTAACGTCCTACTTTTCTGCTCAACTGGGCTAATGAAGACAGGCATACGCCATACAGTGTGCTATGAGGGAAATTTATTCTGGACAGCGGCGCTAAGGCCTACTTTTATATCAAATTCCAACTATGTGTACATGGGACATTAGTTTTCTGTTCCCATCCAAATGACTAGACAGCTGTTCTTGTCAGGCCCTCCCAGGGAAGAAAATCATGAGGAACTTTCTAGGTCAACACCTTGGTCAATCCCACTCACTCACTCACTGAGCCCTTGTGGCTCCTTAAATACCCAAAGCTTACCGTATTCTGTTGTTTGTTAACCAATGTAAAGCTTCAAGTTTGATTAGCGTTGAAACAATCTTCTCTTCTAATTGGTTAATAGCTGTTTCAGATCGGTCCGATCCTCTCGTGTCGGAGATCACTGACTGTAACTCGGAAATAGTTAATGTTCTCTGCGGCTGTAAATTAAAAATATAGCAAATAAAATAACAACAGTTACTTTTTTTAAAATATTATCAAAGGAAAAAATTGTGTTTTAAGATTACAGATTAAATTTCCAGAATGTCTTTTCAATAATGTGCACTGCTGGCTACCTTTGTTCGTAATGTTATCTTCTATCGAATAGCTTCAGCTTCTAAAATCCAAATTAAAAAAATTGCTCCATTAAAACTGCTGATAGTCATTTGCACTTTTTGGGCACTAACTTATTTTTTTAAGGCTTAATCCATGCCAAAATGTACTCAAAATGATACATTAATTATTGATCAAGGGCAGTATCTCTTAAAGTAATTAGTAGAAATCATTGAAATTTAAGAGGACTCCTCGTCTGAATAATGTAAGCAACATAACGGATGATAGTCTGTAGATTGTTCACAAGGAATTGTGGACGACGAATGAACGGACCTCCAACAAAGGTGAATGTATAAAAATGATTGTACCTTTTTGTTGATATATGATGTAAAACCTTCCCATGCTACAGCTTGTGGATGTAGATAAACACGAAGTGGAGAGAAAGACATGACTAGTACATTAAACATGGCTACCATTGGTTCATCACCTAGTTTATATAAATTATCAGGTAATTTAACGGCAACACCTTTAGTCTCCATAAAACTGAAAATATAATATTTTTACATTCTTTTATTTTACATCATTTTCAGATTCAATAAATCTTACAAACAATAAATTTAAAGGTCAGAAAAGGGAACCCTGGATCTATATATTTTATCTTCTCCCATTGCTTAATTTAAACTTATAGGTAGTGACAGATATCATGGACAAGGTAGGGTATGCTTATTAATTCCAGAACACCTGATATCATTTTTCACGTATGGCATATGTAAAGTTCACACAGATATTTGGGGTTTTAATCTATCATAGTATTTCTTATTTTTTCTGCATGTTATATGTTAGTGAGTTCAAGGGTGGTTGGGTAGTCATGTGGTCAAGTGGTCAAATGCCTGCACTTTAGATAATAAGGTCTGTGATTGAGTCACATGATTTCAATCCCAAGAGTGTACATGACAAGGAGTAGGGTTGCCTCCGGAACTTCTGGTTTCCTCCCAATGCTTAAAACCCTTAACAACAAGAGAATTAATGAAATAAAATTGTGCCATGTTAGTCACAAAATGACCTAGTTTGTGTCAAGTCGATGTTATTTCCCTCAGTGTTAATGAGTTAGCTGGCATTTCCCTCTCTTTTAACCGCTGTTCTACCAATGAATCTACCAGATCATCACAACTTAATTATACTACATATTAAAAGTACTGGTTCATGCTAGTTTTATGATGTTCAAAAGTGGTTGAATGTTCATCTGAACAATATGATGCAGATATGCTTTTTTCAGGAGTTGTTGGAAATGTGGAACACAAAACAATTCATGCTGGACTTTGCCACTGATGAATTAAGCCCCGATCTTTATTTAAGTTAAAGCTTTTACCTTTTTCTGAAAGAATCATCTTGAAGTTTTTTACAATCAACAATATCTGGTTGTGTTATTGATGGTGTTTTCTTCAGTAACCATAGTGATTGGTTTCTACATCTTAACGATAATTTTTGTTTTTGATCAGGGAAAACAGCACAATCTAATTCTTCATTTTCAACTCGTTTACCTAAATAAACAATAAACACAATATTCTAAAAGTTTAAGAATGTGTGATTGAAAAAAAAGCTTATGATTAATTATTTGTGTCATTCTAGAAGTGTATTCTATTTTGTAAAAAAAAGTTTGTCAATGTCAATTTACTATTTTACTTTAAACATTTGTGATATTTTTTGTTTTGAACATTTCTGATTTTTTTTAAACTTCATGCATTCATGTTTTACCAATTGTTGAGCTCTTTTTGTTGAAATGGCATGATCTAAAAATTCTTAATACTAATAAAAATTATTGAGCTGACAATCCCCATTAAATTTAAAGCAAGAAATTGTCAGTAGATTTCTTTTGGTAACACAATTAAAGAAATTACTGCAACATTATTTTTCCATTTGGAGAAAAAAAATGGATCGTTTATCAACATTCACTAATGATTCCAAAATTTGAAATAATCATAGATTGTTTTTAAAAATACAATCTAAAAAACATTTGAGTCAATTCTCATTATTTTTATATTTCGAAATCTATTGCAATAATTATTTCTAATTCAGTATATATTTCGAAATCCAAACATACAATCACTCTAAAATATTTCTACTTTTAGCAATTTTATTTTGGGCTATTTTGCAAATTCAATACTTGTCATCTTTATATTTGAAGAGTCCAGGGGAAGAACAATCTAAGTCACATTTTTGTCTTTTCGCATAAAAGGCAAAATAGACTTTTGACGAGAATGCTTGGCGCGAACAGAACAACGAGTGGGTTTAATTACAACTTCAAAATGATGTTTAATACAAATTATAATTAGCCATACAACAACTGACTTCCACTTTTCAGCCAAATTAAGGTCAAATAAAGGGTACGATGGACATATTTATCCGGTAGGCTATTTCAGAAGGGTCTTGGTTCGATGTGACTCTGATCGTTCTTACATGAAATTGATTATTCCACAGAAAGCTTATACAATTTGCTACCAGATGGTGCCATTAACTAGGGTTCGTTGAAAAAGTGACTTAGATCATTCTTCCCCGGGGCTCTTCATTTCAAAATCTACTGCAATATTTATTTGAAAGTCAGTATATATTTCCTGTATTGAACCATACCTGTTGCATCTTGTGGTGGTATATCGCAGAATGATCGGGGATTCCCTAATACTTCTTGTAGTTCTGGAATTACATTCACCTGCAGTATAAAATAATTGATGGTGATAGCTACAGAATGTGAACAATAACTACCACTATGCTATCATTTACTCAATTTGTGTTATTAGTACATTTAATAATTAGGCTATCATAATTATCTATCAAATTTCTTCATGTTTCCATTTTTTTTAAAATTCTCATGAGTCACTACTAAGGGCCTAGAACACAAACACCACAGTGAACAGTAGATCACAACGAGCACAAGCAAACATTGTCTTTACATGGGGTCCGGTCACTGGATCATCACACACATGATGGGTAACGACAGTTTCATTTGGTAATGTGACAATTTTCAGCTTACCCGTTGATGTTCTTTAAGGAATATTTTATCTGCTGTATTATAACATGGTTCTATAGGACTCGTGTTATTTAAACACATTAACACTGACCAACCAATACCATCATAAAAACCTTCTACTTCACGCAGTTTACGGTGCTGTGCAAAATTACCAATTCCTGAAATAAAGAGAGTTTTTATCACATATATCATCAGTATTACTTGACTCATATATCTTTAATATATCATAAGTATGGTAAGGTTGTAATTTAAGAATGTGTCAAACCAAACCAATGTTTTTATTTACAACTTCTTGAGGTTTTGACCTTGGAATGTGCTGATCTTTACTTTCTTGGTTTGTTTTTAATATTATCTATACTGTGTTGAGTCCACCTTGATTGATGTTTGGATATTACAATGAAATGATCTCCCCATTGCAAATGTTTTGATTCAAGAAAATATTGATTTGAACTTGTTCACCATGTGCTGATCTCCCCTTTGCTAAGATTCTGAAACAGGTATCAATACATTATTATGCCCATATATTGTTATTTACTCAGCAGATGGGAGTGGGGTCCATAACCTGAATATAGCCAGTTTATGTCTGTTTATTTACGATGCATACAAATCAGATCATTCCAATGTCAGGTTTTTGAAATACAATTTTAAGAAATTGAGATTGGTGTACCGATAAATGTATTTTATGTATATTTGCTGATTTCTGGTTTTCGACAATTTTTTATACGCCCACATGTCATATATTGTCGTCGCCCCCGTATGTCAGTCCATCCATCTGTTGTCCACGCTCTGGAACGTTAAACGATTAAGGTCACTAGGAGAATAATCCTATTGGTTTTCAATGATTTCCGATAAATGTTTTGTATACTAAATGTTAGTGTGTATAAGGCACAACTAGAAGGCAAACAAGTCGGGCAACTTACCTACTGTGGGCGTATGTGGGGGAGATTGGTTAGCCGAATGGTTAGTGCATGCGCGTTGCATCATAACGTCTGCCGTTGAGTCAACTGGCGTGGTTTCGATTCCCCGGTTGAACGTGACAATGGGTGGGTTCACCCGTCCAACCTCGTGCGTTTTCTCCGGGTCCCCCTCCCCCCACTGCTAAAACACATGCGCCCAAGCGAATTATTGAAATAAAATGGAACCATGTCAGTCCCGAGATGACGTAGTTTGAGTCGAGTGGACATTAAACCCCATACTCTCTCTCCGGGTGTTTGTTTGTTTTGTTGCCTGCCAGTCTATTTTTAAAATCCACAACAGGCCAATGGATAACGTAATATTTATTTTAATTAGAATAGACATCGAAAGGGAAAGATTAAAACTGTCTAAAAAATGGCCAAACAGAAATTTATCCCAGTTCGCTCGCTAGGTTTTGTGTATTTGTTAATTATACTATTGGATGAGTTTTCTAGCTAATGTTACTATTTCACAAACTATAAATCATTGAAACAACATTTATTCATTGTTTTAACTATATGTATTTATCTTTTTTAATTAACACGATGTTTCTTGCTATTAATACAGTTCACACCTTAAAATGCATGGTCTGTTTTCACAATCACCGGGTTAGTATGTTGGGGGGTTCATCCATATGAACACCTACTTTTCCTCAAATGATCACCTGTACACGTGCTAAAACAACACATTACAGGTTGATCAGTAACTTGAACACCCGAGTCAGAACAAAGGGTCCAGTGTGTAAGTGGTAATCTCTCCTTTCTGAGATTCTGTTCTAGGGATGTGCTGGTCATTCTTGCTTAGATTCTGTTTTAGTAATATGTGTATCACCTTTCCTGAGATTCGGTTCTAGGGGTGCGCTGATCCCCCTTTCTGAGATTCTGATCTTGAAATGTGCTGGTCATCCCATCTGAGATTCTGATCTAGAAACATACTGATCTCCCTTTCTGAGATTCTGATCTAGAAACATACTGATCTCCCTTTCTGAGATTCTGTTCTAGAAATGAACTGATCACCCTTATTGAGATTTTGTTCTAGGATTGTGCAATTCACCCTTTCTGAGATTCAGTTCTACGGGTGTGCTGATCACCCTTGGTGGGATTCTGATCTAGGAATGTTCTGATCACCCAATCTGAGATTCTGATCTAGAAACGTGCTGATTACCCTTGCTGGGATCCAGATCTAGAAATGTGCTTATCACCCTTGCTGAGATTCTGTTCTAGAAATGTGCTTATCACCCTTGCTGGGATTCTTTTCTAGAAATAAGCTGGTCACCCTTGCTGAGATTTTGTTCTAGAAATGTGCTGATCACTCCTTGCTGGAATTCTGTTCTAGAAATGTATTGAATTCTCCCTAGAGGTTTTGATCCAGGAATATGGTGAAGCACACCTGATTGTTGAATAACTTACAACCTCTTGACTCCAAGTTAGTTCAACCAATCTCAAGCTTTAAGGTTTAATTGGAATTTTACTCCAGGGCCCCAAAGTTTACAATAGTTATCTTTAATAAGGAAATAAATTCAATTTGATGATTAAATCGTTAACTTACCGTCTGTAACATGGAATCTAACATCAACACCATAACGATTAAATACGGATTCTATTAGAGGTATCTCATGACGAACTGTAGACAAGGACCCCTCAGCCAATAAAATAAAAGGTTGGTCTAGATTTGGTAAAGATTTTTCTTCAGTCTAAAAAATAAACAAATATATTTTTATTAGAATATCAGTTGTGCATAGGGATCTTCTGAAGTGGGAGGAAACCGGAGGACCCAGAGAAAACCCACGATGTTGGACAGATGATCCCACTGCTTGTCACTTATGACTAAAACCAATCGACCACCCAACCCCCTGCAAAAAGTTTCATAATTATAACCTCGATTTTTTCGTTGTCACTTATCTGCTAATTCACTACATGTATTTATAGTTGTAATGGGTGTCATGGACTTGGCAGAGTATGCTTAGTCTTTCTAGAACACCTGATAACACTTTATTAATAGTATTTGTGTATTGAGGTATTCAACTAAAATATTTACATTTTACACTTCTCAATTGGATTCTCACACCGAACAAAGTTTTGTTGTACCTTGCATTATAATTGTCTTGAACTTGTCTTTCATACATATAATGGCTGTTTTGCCTGTGAATTAACCCATAGGAAATAAAATGAAATCATTTTGGGTTTAAAGTCCTACTGCTTCAACTGGGCTTATGAAGATGGGCATATGCCATACAGTGTGCTATAGTATGAGGGAAATTGTGCCCAGACAGAGGCACGACAGCTTATTCTTTTTTTGAATTCCTACTGTCATGGGTCCGTTTTATGTGCACGCCAATGTGTACAAAGAACCTCTGTTCTGTCATTTGTCCCATCTGAACAACTAGACATCTGTCATTGCCAGGCCATTCATCCTGCACGACTGACATGGGGGAACGACAGTGGAAAATCACAATGAACTTTCTCAGCCAACATCAGTTTGGAAAGTGTTGACCTCAAGGTTAGCAAGCCAACATCTTACTCACTGAGCCTCCATGGCTTCCTTAACTATGCATGTTTCTATGAAAGTAAACAAATCTGACATGGTTTCCTAATTGCTGGCCATTTCTGAATAACCATATTTGCAGTGCTTTCATTCAGTTTTTTTCCTTTAAACTTGTTTGATATGAGAAGTCATAGAATGGATATAAATAAACTAAAACCATGCAATTAGGTGAACATTTATTTTGATTACTCATAGCACATGTGAGTTATTGGAGACCAAAGAATCTAATACACCCAGACCATGACCCAAACTAAAATAGGTTTTTGGTGTAAACAATGTTGACGAGTAGGTCAGTATAAACAATAAGATATAAATAGAATACTATATATACCAGTACATGATGTAATGCAAATATACAACGACAGCCAACTTAAGATAAAATTACTATTTTTTCCCAGATCGGCAGTTCCAAATGTCTAATCACACCCTTTTACAAAATTTAACTTTCTAAATATAATTATCGTAATTATGTGGGGAAAGATAGAAATTAATTTTCATGGATTTTTCAATAATGTCCTAGAATTACTTAGCAACAGTACATGATTAGTCCCCTCCCGCATCCCTCACCGATCTGGTCCCAATCATGAACTAAGATTTTATTGTTGGAACTTGGAGTAGTATATAATGTCTTTTATTTAGGTTCTGTAAAAGTTGTAACGTATATTACAGTAGATAATTATAATGTGTATTATATATTTTTTGTAAATGATGTAACGTATATTACAGTAGATTATAGTGTCTATTATATATTTTTTGTAAATGATGTAATGTATATTACAGTAGATTATAAGGTATTCTATATATTTTGTAAATGATGTAATATATTTATTACAGTAGATTATAGTGTATTATATATTTTCTGTAAATGATGTAATGTATAATACAGTAGATTATAGTTTCTATTATATATTTTATAGTGTCTATTATATATTTTTTTGTAAATGATGTAATGTATAATACAGTAGATTATAGATTCTATTATATATATTCTGTAAATGATGTACATGTAATGTATATACAGTAGATATAGTACCTATTATATATATTCTGTAAATGATGGTGTATATTGCAGTAGATATACAGGTGGTTATTGTTGTATACAACTTTCCTCTACCTGACCAACACCCATACAATATATAAACATTAATCAATCCTATTATATACCATCTGGCTCGCACATTCTCAAATACATCGCTAGGTCTTTACAAATCTAATCATGTTTATTAAGAGTTCTTATTTCATACCAAAGTTCTTTCTTTGTAGTTTATTAAAATGAGAACTGCTACTTATGGACTTTTAAGAAAGAGGAAATTTCAAACAATTAACAGCTGAATTCCTGAGTAATCTCATATGTAGAATGAATTTCACAATAGTTGCCCTCCCTCCTGTTTATTATATAAACCTAGGTTGGCAACATCCATTTCATCTTCATGTTATTCTCAAGGTATATTAATTCCATATGATATATACAGGGTTCCGTATGTTACACATCAACAATATCGGTCAGAGAGAGACAGAGAGGGTCGGGGTAGTGGGAGAAGACAGAGGAGACAATGGCTCTGGCCCTGGGCATCAATTTCAGGGGGCGTCTAATCAAAGAGTGAAATTAAAATTAACTTTTTAGAAATTTAAAATTATAGCTGTTAACTTCAATATGTTAATGTACAAGTTCCACTACTTAATTTGAACAAAAATCATATTTCATCTGTTTTACATATTTGCAATGTCTTCCTTTCTCAGTATTAGGCCCTATACTTGAGTCTAGGGGGCCATACACTAAAGGAGTTTGCGCTGGGCATCACCAAACCTCTGCACATAAACCAGTTATGGTTCATTACGTTGCTTATCAATGTGGTTAAAAATATTTCTTTGGATAGGGTGACCCCCCCAAAGAACAGAACCCATAAATTTTTTTATTAAATCCTACAAAGGTCCAGCAAATATTTTTAACTTCAAGGATAATGTGTACCAGAACAGTACTCAAACCATTGGTGAACTGAAGACAGCAATCACAGCAAAAATCAGGGAAATCCCCAAGGAGGAATGTGTTCGAGTACTATGCAATTTTGCCTCCAATGGTGCAGAGGCCATTTGGAGTATATTTTTGAAAGAAGATGGCTTTTATGCAAAGCAACGGAGATAACTGAAACTTTGGGGAATGATCTACACAGACTGAAGTTTAAGTCCTTTGTAGGATTTAATACAATTTTTTATGGGCTCTGTTTTTTTTTTTGGGGGGGGGGGTGGGGGGTCTCCCTGTACATGCAACAATTACAACCTAAAATACAAATTTTGATTCGTCAGGCTCCCACAATATTGATCAGCATCCAAACCAATCCATGCTTGTTAGATTATTTTGTCTTCATTGACCAGCCTTAAAACTTTGGACACGCTTGGTTTTTATAAGATAATAATAATATTGATACTTTAATCCATCCAGTTTTTAAACAATCCTATCTTGTTAAAATAGAATTCTGGTCTGTAGAGTGGTCTCATGCCTTCAACGACAACAGTAACGTTATCATTGTAGGCAGGGACAATAACTCTGTGATCAATCAACAAATTTGCTTTCAACTCTGATTAAGATATTATGAATATAATAATGCCCCATCCCAAATTTCATCAAAATCAAATGAAAACTGTAGACTCTAATGCATTAAAATGTGATTAGACAAATGAACAGGGCCGACGACAATACATGTTAATTATGGTTGAAAAGAATTCCAAATGTGGTATCTCAGTGATTTTTGATGATTAAATACACGTTAATTATGGTTGAATAAAATTCCAAATGTGGTAACTCAATGATTTTTGATGATTAAAATAAACACAAAATTTTTCTGGATAAACAATTACTGTATTTAATCGGAGCTACGTTTATACAATGATATATATTTAGTTCCTTCTCTCTGTATCAATATTATGCTTGAAAACGACAAAAGAATCATTGTAGAAACGTAGCTCTGATTAAAAATACAATAATTGTTTTTATAGAACTGTTGTGTTTATTTTAATGTGTTCAATTACCAAATGCCATATAAACAGTATTTTGGATGATGACCACCTTAACTATATTTTCTCACAAAATTGTCCTACTGACCGCATTTTATTTGATGTATTTCTTTTTCTTTCTTAAAATATTTGTCATCCATAATACCATAAGAGTATCAGTCTGATAAGGTTTTTATTGGTGGATGAAGTTACCTGTAGTAATCTAGGTGATGACAGGTTAATAGAAGGTATTTGACAGGTGATACTGTTACCTGTATCCTCTCTTATCATATATATAATACATACTACTAATACCTATATCCTCTCTTATCATATATATACAATACATACTACTACATACACTACTATATACACTACTATATCACCAGATTGTAACATTTTTATCAAGATTAAATATAACCTTTATGAATGATCTGAATTAACAATACTATTTTAACTCTGTGGATTTAGATAAAACATTTATATGAATGATCTGAATTAACAATACTATTTTAACTCTGGATTAGATAAAATCTTTATCAATGATCTGAATTAACGATACTATGGTATTTTAACTCTGTGGATTTAGATAATACATTTATGAATGATCTGAATTAACAATACTATTTTAACTGTGGATTTAGATAAAACCTTTATGAATGATCTGAATTAACGATACTATTTTAACTCTGTGGTTTTAGATAAAATACTATAGATGTGAAAGAGGTATAATAGTTCAAGAATAGATATATTGAAAATTTAAGTTATAAATGGCTACTTTTTCGATGGCGGATTCAATATTAAAATCATGTCACTTTTAATATATATAGAAAAGAAAGCTGGGTATAACTCAATTGTCAGGCATTTTATCGGCAATCTCTGTAAGTGACCTCCTGCATTTTTTATTGTTTTTTTCAGCCTGCTTGGCAATATTTGTGCTTAATACAGATATAGTGAGCACTGTCTAATGCACCGATTGTCTAAGTCCCCTGATGGCCTACAGAGTTGATCATGGACTTGTCATGTCAGATATAGTGAGCACTGTCTAATGAACCGACTGTCTAAGTCCCCTGATGGCCTACAGAGTTGATCATGGACTTGTCATGTGAATAAATGTCTAAATAATAATCTATATAAGACATGATAACCGAAAAAAAG